GCTAGTCTACCTTGCCACGAAGCACAGAGGTTGACACACAGGGACTTTCCAATTATCCAGCAGTGGTACTGTTCCTTTACCCTTGTGGGTAATAATATGGTAGCTAGAGCTTCAAAATTTATGGGTCTAAACTTTGTTAGTGCTGTTTCTTTGCTATTATTTTACCCTTCTTGGTCAGAGCGATATAGTGGGAGCTGCAAGCTTCACGTTCTCAACTTTGGCAGAGAACTTTGGCAAAGTTTTCTGTGGTACCCATGAGCTATTGTTGCGTGTGGGAAGTGGGTGATTGAACAGTAAGATTCATGTGTTTTCTACTTCACCAGAAGTCTTCGACAGAATGCCCATAATTTCCGCAAAGCTGAGTGTGCGTGTGACAGGTGCTGACAAGGCTGGAAAAGTAGGTGCCTCTTCGATTTCTGAGATCGGCCCTCGTGGTCTCTGGGGAGCCCAGCTTTTGAGAAAGCGAGCGCCTCTTCGATTTCTGAGATCAGCCTTCGTGGTCTTTGAGCAGCCCAACTTTTGAGAAAGCAAACGCCTCTTCGATTTCTGAGATCAACTATCGTGATCTCTAAGCAGCCCAGCTTTTGAGAAAGCAAACGCCTCTTCGATTTCTGAGCAGGCGCCTCTTCGATTTCTGAAGCTCCGTCGAGTGCAGATTTTTATAAGGGCTGGCATTAAGTTCCAAAGCACACTTGAATCTCCACCAGTAGAGGCTTCATTCTTGCACTTCTAAGATCTTGATTTGTCCGACCTCTTCTCTCTTCAACACCTTTGAAAATGTCTGGCCCCTCCGACCGTCGTTTTGACTTGAACCTTGTTGAAGAGGCAGCCCCGCCTTCTCCAGACAACATATGGCGCCCATCCTTCGTCTCCCCTACTGGTCCTCTTACCGTTGGGGATTCCGTGATGAAGAATGATGATATGACCGCTGCGGTGGTGGCCAGGAACCTTCTCACTCCCAAAGATAACAGACTACTTTCCAAACGGTCTGATGAGTTAGCTGTTAAGGATTCGCTGGCTCTCAGTGTTCAGTGTGCAGGTTCTGTGTCTAATTTGGCCCAACGCCTATTTGCTCGAACCCGCCAAGTTGAATCATTGGCGGCTGAAGTGATGAGTCTCAAACAGGAGATTAGAGGGCTCAAGCATGAGAATAAACAGTTGCACCGGCTCGCATATGACTATGCTACAAACATGAAGAGGAAGCTTGACCAGATGAAGGAAACTGATGGTCAGGTTTTACTTGATCATCAGAGATTTGTGGGTTTGTTCCAAAGGCATTTATTGCCTTCGTCTTCTGGGGCTATACCGCGTAATGAAGCTCCAAATGATCAACCTCTAATGCCTCCTCCTTCTAGGGTTCTGTCCAGTACTGAGGCTCCAAATGATCCCCCTCCGGTGCCTTCTCTTTCTGGGGCTCTACCGACTGCTGAGACTTCTCCTAAGCAACCTTTGTGAAGGCTCCCTCTTGTGTGTTTATTTTGACTCATGTATATGTACATATTTGTAGCTTATCGGGGATATCAATAAATAAGATTTCCTTCATTTCAACGTATTGTGTTAAATACACCAAAGCCTTCTTCGCTAAGTTCTTTGAATTTTCTTTTGTTGAAGCTTGTATGTTGAAGCTTTCTGAGTGGAGCATGTAGGTTGGGGTAGTGTTCCCTTAATTTTCCGAGTGAGGAAAACTTCTCGGTTGGAGACTTGGAAAATCCAAGTCACTGAGTGGGATTGGCTATATGAATCTTAGAACGCCATTGTGCTCGATCCTGTGTCATGTCCTTCGTTAGCTCCAAGTACTCTAAGTCTTTTCTTAGAGTCTCTTCCAAAGTTTTCCTAGGTCTTCCTCTACCCCTTCGGCCCTGAACCTCTGTCCCATAGTCGCATCTTCTAATCGGAGCGTCAGTAGGCCTTCTTTGCACATGTCCAAACCACCGTAACCGATTTTCTCTCATCTTTCCTTCAATTTCGGCTACTCCTACTTTACCCCGGATATCCTCATTCCTAATCTTATCCTTTCTCGTGTGCCCACACATCCAACGAAGCATCCTCATCTCCGCTACACCCATTTTGTGTACGTGTTGATGTTTCACCGCCCAACATTCTGTGCCATACAGCATCGCCGGCCTTATTGCCGTCCTATAAAATTTTCCCTTGAGCTTTAGTGGCATACGGCGGTCACATAACACGCCGGATGCACTCTTCCACTTCATCCATCCAGCTTGTATTCTATGGTTGAGATCTCCATCTAATTCTCCGTTCTTTTGCAAGATAGATCCTAGGTAACGAAAACGATCGCTCTTTGGTATTTCTTGATCTCCGATCCTCACCCCTAACTCGTTTTGGCCTCCATTTGCACTGAACTTGCACTCCATATATTCTGTCTTTGATCGGCTTAAGCGAAGACCTTTAGATTCCAACACTTCTCTCCAAAGGTTAAGCTTTGCATTTACCCCTTCCTGAGTTTCATCTATCAACACTATATCGTCTGCGAAAAGCATACACCAAGGAATATCATCTTGAATATGTCTTGTTAACTCATCCATTACCAACGCAAAAAGGTAAGGACTTAAGGATGAGCCTTGATGTAATCATACAGTTATGGGAAAGCTTTCGGTTTGTCCTTCATGAGTTCTTACGGCAGTCTTTGCTCCTTCATACATATCCTTTATAGCTTGGATATATGCTACTCGTACTCCTTTCTTCTCTAAAATCCTCCAAAGAATGTCTCTTGGGACCCTATCATACGCTTTTTCCAAATCTATAAAGACCATGTGTAAATCCTTTTTCCCATCTCTATATCTTTCCATCAATCTTCGTAAGAGATAGATTGCCTCCATGGTTGAGCGCCCTGGCATGAACCCGAATTGGTTGTCTGAAACCCGTGTCTCTTGCCTCAATCTATGCTCAATGACTCTCTCCCAGAGCTTCATTGTATGACTCATTAGCTTAATACCCCTATAGTTCATGCAATTTTTGTACGTCGCCCTTATTCTTGTAGATAGGCACCAAAGTGCTCGTTCGCCACTCATTTGGCATCTTCTTCGTTTTCAAAATCCTATTGAAAAGGTCAGTGAGCCATGTTATACCTGTCTCTCCCAAAAGTTTCCACACTTCGATTGGGTATATCGTCTGGGCCTATTGCTTTTTTATGCTTCATCTTCTTCAAAGCTACAACCACTTCTTCCTTCCGGATTCGACGATAAAAAGAGTAGTTTCTACACTCTTCTGAGTTACTCAACTCCCCTAAAGAAGCACTCATTTCATGTCCTTCATTGAAAAGATTATGAAAATAACCTCTCCATCTGTCTTTAACCGCGTTCTCTGTAGCAAGAACCTTTCCATCCTCATCCTTGATGCACCTCACTTGGTTTAGGTCCCTTGTCTTCTTTTCCCTTGCTCTAGATAGTTTATAGATATCCAACTCTCCTTCTTTGGTATCTAGTCATTTATACATATCGTCGTAAGCCGCTAACTTAGCTTCTCTGACAGCTTTCTTCGCCTCTTGCTTCGCTTTTCTATACCTTTCACCATTTTCATCGGTCATCTCCTTGTATAAGGCTTTACAACATTCCTTCTTAGCCTTCACCTTTGTTTGTACCTCCTCATTCCACCACCAAGATTCCTTTTGGTGTGGGGCAAAGCCCTTGGACTCTCCTAATACCTCTTTTGCTACTTTTCGGATACAACTAGCCATGGAATCCCACATTTGGCTAGCTTCCCCCTCTCTATCCACACACACATTGGGTGATTACCTTCTCTTTGAAAATGGCTTGTTTTTCTTCTTTTAGATTCCACCATCTAGTTCTTGGGCACTTCCAAGTCTTGTTCTTTTGTCTTACTCTTTTGATATGTACATCCATCACCAACAAGCGATGTTGATTAGCCACGCTCTCTCCTGGTATAACTTTGCAATCCTTACAAGTTATACGATCCCCTTTCCTCATTAGAAGAAAATCTATTTGTGTTTTTGACGACCCACTCTTGTAGGTGATCACATGTTCTTCTCTCTTCTTAAAAAAGGTGTTGGCTAAGAAGAGATCATATGTCATTGCAAAATCCAAGATAGCTTCCCCATCCTCGTTTCTCTCCCCAAAACCATGGCCACCATGAAAACCTCCATAGTTGCCTGTCTCCCTGCCCACGTGTCCATTTAAATCTCCTCCTATAAATAACTTCTCCGTCTGAGCAATTCCTTGCACCAAGTCTCCAAGATCTTCCCAAAATTTCTCCTTCGAACTCGTATCCAACCCTACTTGAGGTGCGTACGCACTAATTACATTGATAAGTTCTTGTCCTATTATACCGAACCAAAATTTTTTGGTAGGGTATTTGTATTCAATATCATTATCACGGCATTACCATACCATAGCGAAACATATAAATATATATAATATATAAATAAATAATGTATATAATATTTCAATATTAAAAAAAAGAAACTGGTAAGATGCCTCTCACTCCCACCTAAATCAACCACTACCCACATACCAAATCCCCCACAACACCCCGAACCCACCTTCAAAATCCCATCCTTCTGAATATAAACTGGGAGAGCACTCAGAGCAGTACGTGAACCCAAAAAAGTAAATCCCCCACAGCACCCCCAAAACCTGTCTTCAAAATCCCACCCTTCTGAATATAAACTGGGAGAGCAGTACATGAACCGAAAAAGGTCAAAAAAAACGTATGGGCCTTGAATTGGGTTGAAGGAAAAAAAATCAGATTGTGGTTCAAAAAAGTAGCCCAAAACAAAATGATAATTTACTATTACCATACTATACTATTATTTGATATACCGAAATTTGGTATACCGAAAATTTGGCACAGTAATGATAATCAATTTCGTTATATCAAAAGTTTGATATAATAATTGATACGAGGATTTTTATACGGTAACCGTACCGAAAAAACCCTACCTAGTTAAAGTTGAAGAAAATGAAATGTTGAAAATCCCACTTTCCTCAAAACGCACCGTCTGACTGAAAATTCTACCAAAATTTCCCTCCAGATCCTCCTCCTACTCCCGCTCAGGATTCAACTCCAGTCACCAAAAGGCAAATATTCCCAAAATCTTTTTCCTCTGTTCTTCTTAAACCCTAAATCCCAAAACTTTGATTTCCCTCTCTCGCGGAATTTCAATTTTCATCACCCTGCCTCTCGCGGAATCTGAAGGCTCAGCCATATGGCAGGCAGGCCAGTGATTGTGTAGCTATCTTCTAAAACTTGTCGACTTCCACACCGACAGAACCCGACTGCTTACGAATCGAATTCTGAAAGGCGAGTTTTTTACTCTGCTTCTGCTTGTTTCAGTGGCAATCATATGTTTTTACTTTTGGAAATTGAATTTGTTTGAATTTTGTTTCTTCAAGGTTGATGGAATGGCCGGTGTTGGGGAAATAACGGCTGCTTCTGCATTCCTACAGGTACATATTCCTTGTAATATCGTGTTTGATTACTAACTACTAATTTATTGTAACATTCTAGTAGAAAAGCTCGATTGGAAGTAAATTCATCTGCATATATGTTTATATATCTTTTTCGGTTTTATTTGGAAGGGTAGGCAGAGCCTTTTTTTGCATAGAAATTCTTTTGAAGGAAGAAGCGATGTGCTCTTGGGCACGCTTCACAGGCGGAATGCAGCAGTGGCTTTTGGTTCTTAAGTGGCTTCTTCAGCTTGTGAGGCCTAGAATTTGTTGAGGTTTGGCCTCAGTTGTCATTTACAACAGCTTGGTCTTCTAATGCCGTGTCAATTTGCAGAGCATTTGGTTTGACAGAGGCGACTCATTTGGAGGACTCAAGGAGGAAACTAGTTTTCGTTTGGTAAAATTTTGATGATTGGCTTGTCGTGGGGTTCTAGATAAAGAAGTGCTGAAAGCCAGGCATGTGCCTTCATGGGAATTGTCAGTACATGATTGTCACCTACACACCAAAAGTGGCAGTAATTTGAGATGGCAGCAATGGGGACAGAGAATTGGCTGCAGCATTTTATGCGTCTGGTTTTGAACCATGGGATGTTACAAGGTCAGGCCTTCTTCATGGAGCCATATGACTGGATAAATTGCATGGTGTTGTGTTTGTTGTGGGCTTTAGCTATGCTGATGTGCTTGATTCTGTGGAAGGTTGGTCTGCTTCAGTTCGATTTAATTAGCCCATTTTAAATCAATTTCAGGAGTTTTACAAGCGACCAGACCCTTTTTAAGTCTTGGTGTTTGCAATGGGTGTCAGCTTATGGCCCTTTTGGGGTGTGTCCTAGGCCCTCAAATTGGTGGTGTGCTAGGTGGTGGCGGGGACGCTTCACACCCCAGGTTCATTCACAACAAGTCTAGACGTTTTGAAGGCCTAGTCACCGGCTATAATGTTTAGAGGTATGGAGGGCAGTACATTGGGTGTTTGGGCTGCCTCTGATGAGGGTTCCCTCATGTTTTCGGCAATTTGTTGTCCAGATGGGAGACATCTTGCCATGATGGCTTATTCAAAGCGTTGCTTCTTAATGTGGCAATTCCCATGGTATCCCAAGAGTGGGATGTGGACAAGAAAGGGCCTAGTCCATGGTTGCGGGTGATCCAGAATGCCAGAGAGTGGTGTTCCACAGAAAAAGTGTTCATTTCCGTACATGGTTAGTACTTCTGTGTTCATTGTTCATGAGAATTGCTCCTTTATTATTATTTTTTTCTGGTTACATGAGAGGTCTGCTTTTTGTTGCATTACGTATTCATACATGTTTTATTTGTTGAGCATATGCTTACATGAAAATAAACTGGACATTTAAAATGTCAGTGCAAATCATCAGATGTGTATCTGTGTACGACCTTCTATCATATGTTGAAGAAAGAGGTAGAATCATCACATTCTGGTTAATGGATTCAAAACAGTTTGCTTCTTATTTGAGATATTTGTTTTCGTTATGGGCAGTGGGAACTCAAATTGGTTATATTTTTCGTGAGTGTTGTGGATGCTATTTTCTGGATCCTGAGACCAAATGCCATGCTGGTTGCCATTAATCTTGGAGTGCCATTTGAATTAATTCCATTTCTAGTTTTTTATTTGACAAGAATTCTAATTCTAGTTCTATCATTTGAATCATTTCTTCGTGTATGTATGGGGTGCTATGCGTTTGTGTTGCTGACGTGAATTGTGCTGTCTTTATCATTATGGTAATACAGATGATGACGACGTTTTGTCTGCTTTATTCCGAAATTTACGAGTATACTTCAACTTATATCCAGATTTTCATTTACGAACATGCACTTGTTACATGATTATTTAGTTAATTTTGTTACTTAGAAAGACTGTTCGCAACTCTTCAAGAGTGAGCTTCCTTGAAATTTCATTCAAACTATACTTTAGTTTCTCGAGAATTTTCGCAACACGTCATGAGTAACCTTCCCTGAAATTTCGTAACTATTAAGTCAATTCTCCTTTCACACGTTTTTAGTTGTGAAATTTTGTCCTTTCAGTTTGGTGTTGGCCGGGTTCAGCTCTTTCTTGAGGATTCCTCATTATTTTTCCAGTTCTTTGTTTTGGCTCTACATACAAATGTTCTTTTTTTTTTTTTTTTTTTGGAGGAAAAAGGAAAAAGAAAAACCTTTCTTCATCATCTGTTCCTACTTTGGTGTGGATCCCTCTGACGTAGATTGTGAGGAGCCACTTTCCAATGACGTTGAGCACGCAAAGGGCCTCTGTGTCTCTTCTTTCATCAGCTCCTCGTTGGAAGTATGACGTGTTTCTGAGTTTCAGAGGTGTAGACACCCGCAAGGGTTTTGTCTCCCATCTATACCACGAATTGTCCAAGTACCAAGGAATTACGACTTTTATGGACAACCGAGAGCTTGTAGGTGGAACAAGTATTCCTCTGGAGCTCCCGAGTGCGATCGGAGAATCACATACTGCAATTGTTGTTCTCTCTCCAAACTATGCTTCTTCCAAATAGTACTTGACTGAACTTACAAACATTATTCAGTGCATGGAAGCCAGGAACTCAATTCTCCCAGTCTTCTAATGGTGTGGATCCCTCTGACGTAGGAAATCAGAGGGGGTGGTTTGTCGAAGCCTTTGCCGAGCATGAAGGAAAGTTCACTAGCACTGAAGACAAAAAGATGGTGACTCAGTGGAAAGCTGATTTAAAAGAAGTGTCCAAACTTTCTGGGTGGCATTTGAAGAATTTTAAGCAAGCAAGCATGAACAACGTTCTTGCCCATGTCTTAATATCGTCACACACTTGATAGCTTACTCATGTTCTCTGTTTTGTTATTCTATTCTTCCTTGCAGGTGTGAAAGAGAGCTGATTGACGACATCGTCAAATGTGTGTGGAGGAAAGTGCAAGCTACAATCACTTTGTCAGATGTCTCAAAGACGTTAGTCGGAATTGATTCTGCACTCGAGCAGCTAACTATGCTATTAGCTCATGATGCAAATGATGTTCGCTTGATTCTGTACTCTCGTTTTGTCTTCAAAGACTTCTTTTCCCAATCTTGTAGGAAAGAAATGTGGGATGAAGAGTGCGGAAGCAAATTAACTAAGAAGTGCTTGTGCAATAAGAAGGTTCTTCTCGTACTTGATGATGTGGATGAATTACATCAACTAGAAGTACTGGTTGGGAATCAAAGTTGGTTTGGCATGGGGAGTAGAATTATCATTACAACTAGAAATGAAGGTCTGCTAGTCCAACATGGTATAGCAAAGTCATACAGGGTTGAGGGATTGAATTATGGCGAAGCTCTTGAGCTCTTTAGCTTGAATGCCTTCAAAAAAGACCAACCCGATGAAGAATTTTTGGAACTCTCTGAGCGTTTCCTAAACTATGCCAGAGGCCTTCCAATAGTTCTTAAAGTTTTAAGGTCGTTTTTGTATACGAGAGGGCAAGATGCGTGGAATAGTGAGTTGGATAATCTATATAAAATTCCTAATCAACAAATTTTTGATTCACTCAAAGTTAGTTATGATGGACTCCGGTTGATGGAGAGGAGAATTTTCCTTGATGTTGCATGTTTCCAAAAAGGGGAGTGCAAAAAGCAAGTAATTCAAGTACTAGACAATTCTTTTGGAATTTCTAGTAGTATTCTAATAGATTTGCTAATTGAGAGATCTCTTCAAGATAATGATTTTGAAAACAAGATAGGGATGCATGATGATACAAGAAATGGCATGAACAATTGTTCGTCAAGAGTCTGAAGAGCCTGGTCTACGGAGTAGGTTGTGGCTTCTCAATGATATTTTTCATGTATTCATGACGAATACGGTAAGAAATTATGTAGATATGTACCTAGTTCAAAAAAAGATATGATTTCTATTAATATAAAGTTAGCATGTGAAATTGACGTTTCCTACATTCTTGGTTATTAGGAGACGTGCTATTGAAGGCATAGTACTACAGTTACCCGAATTAGAAGAGGTGCACTGAAATTGCAGAGCCTTATTTAATATGCATGGACTGAGGTTTATGGAGTTCAATAATTTGATCATTTCTTTATGCCCCAAATTTCTTCCATGTTCTTTGAGAATTATAAATTGAAGTTTTTATCCTTCCAAGTTTCTTCCAACCAGCTTTCAACGCTTTTCCTTACTCAACTTAAGATGCATGAGAGCAAACTTTTTGGCTATGGAAGAGAAAAAAGGTAAGTAGTATTGAATAAATGCTTTTTAATTTACAAAATAATCATTTATTTATTATTTTGAATAAACTTTTAAGGTTATAGAAGCTAAATATATGATCTGAACACCCAACTTGAAATATATCGATCTTACCTACTCCTTTAAATTGATGAGTGCCCCAGATTTCAGTGGTCTACCAAACCTTGAGAAGTTGAATCTTGGGCATTGTACAATTTAGTTGAGATTCACCCCGTCTGTTACAGTCCTCAAAAGACCTAAAATTCTGGACATTTTTTGCTGTAAAAGTATTAAGAGTTTTCCAAGTGAGGTTGAAATGGATTCTCTTGAATCTTTAAATCTTAGTGGCTGCTCTCAGATGTGAAAAATATTCCAGAATTTGGGGAGCAGATGAAGAATTTGTCCCAACTTTCCTTATGTGGGACTGCGATCGAGAAAATACCTTCATCAATTGGACATCTGATTGGCCTTAAGCAGTTGTATCTGGATAAATACAAAGATATCTTGAACCTTCCAAGAGCTATTTGTAATTTGAAGTCTCTTAGAGACATCAGAGTGACAGGGTGCAGAATATTTAACAAACCCCAAGGAGACATGGATCACTTAGACTTCCACCCAGCCATAATTGAGGACTTCCTCCACCATCAATTCATGACTACATAGGCCATCTAAATATTACCAGTGCCAGGTAGAGTTGGATTCGGTTTCAATCGGTTCTGTCGTTTGCCGAAATTAAAAACTGAATAAAATTAGTGTTCGGTTTTTATTTTGTTCTATTAATTTCGGTTTGGCTTTTCCGGTTCGGTTGCAGTTCTGTTTTTGGGTGTTTTTTATTTTTTTTACAGAAAAAAAATCTGGAATTTGATTACAAAAGACGCTCAAATCATGTTTCTACAGATTTCAGCTAACCTGTAAACCAGCCTTGGGATTGCAGTGAGATTCGGATACATTGTTTGATCCAATTTTTGGAAACAAGAAAAAATTAAAGAAACAAAATACTTAATAAGCCATTTCCTTCAAAGATTGGGTTGATCCAAAATTCAGAATCACTTCAGAAATATATAATATATATATACACACACACATACGTAAGCTCTAACATTTCAATCCTATATTAGAAAAATTAAATTTATATTAAAATAAAAAATCCTTTCACTTTTTTTTTTAATTTTTTTTTATGAACAATTGATGTTTTTTTTGTGAAAAAACGACATTATCTACACTAAGGGAAGGAGATAGGCTTAGCCTCATAATAGACTAGCAATAATATGGTTCAAATTCGCCTAAGGGAAGGGGTGGGCTTAGCCTTATAATGGACTAGCAATAAAATGATTCAAATTCGCCTAAGGGAAGGGGTGAGCTTAGTCTCACAATGAGCTAGCAAATTCTCCTTTGGCGAGAATCGAATGTGAGACCTCTCACTTACCAATGAAGAAGAATATCACTAGACCGTAATAATAAGTGACAAAATTCCTTTCACATTAGTTTCTCCTAGAATGCAACCTGTACCCAAAAAAGCACTACAATTCCAAATGGGTGTCAGCATATGGCCCATTTGGGGTGGGTCCTAGGCCCTCAAATTGGTGGTGTGCGAGGTAGTGGCAGTGACCCCTCACAGCCCAGGTTCATTCACAACGAGTCTAGACGGTTTGAAGGCCTATTTGCCGGCTATAATGTTTAAAGGTATGGAGGGCAGTACATGGTGCTTGGGCTGCCCATGGTGGAGGAAGAGCATATTTCCCTTATGTTTGCGCCAATTTGTTGTCCTGATGGGAGACATCTTTCCATGATGTCTCGTTCAAAGTTGCTTCTTAATGTGGCAATTCCCATGGTATTCGTGTTGGAATTGCCTCTCTAACTTGGTAATTACCGCATGCTCAACCCGTCAAGTGTGGGGTTTATCACAATAGACATCGATATTAATTAGGGTAAGGTAATCCTATTTAAAGTCATTATTGTTGACTTCCCCTACCGATGTGGGATAGCCAACAAACCTTTCCGTCAATGACTAATCTAACATCTAATGTGTCACTTAGTTTAGTTTGACCAATTATTCATGATGGGGTTTATGTCCTTACTGAACTGTGATTTTGCTCACCTTTTTATATATCGAAGCAGGTATTGAACCGCAGACCCAAGGTGTTGGTACAACAATTGGAACCTTTGTTGGATAACATGTGAGCTATAAATCCTTATGTTAATTTTTCTCTTGAAAAATTATTTTCCTCTGGAAAAAATGGGAAAGCTGGGAAGTTACAGATAAGTCACAAGTCTTGCATCCAATCACTTTGGTGAGAAGAGAAAATGTGAAGAAGGATAACACGTCCCCAACAGGGAAGCTTCCTGGAAATTTCTCACAGTGATCAGTCTTCCATTTTTCTTTGTAGAAAACCGTTTGTCCCACTTTGGAACGAGTATTGGAAATGAGAGTCAGTCTTCCACTTTTTTTTTTCTTTTTTGTGGAAAATACTTGTCATTTCACTTTAGAAGTCCATGTGTTAATGTGTTTCCTTCAGCTTTTCCTGCTGAATGAGTATTGAAAAGTGGCCAGCTCTTGTATGGGATTTCCTTGTTGCTTCTCTCAGGGAAATTTTAAATTTATGGCATGATAACACGTAATAGGTTAATTATACCGTTATTTTGACGTTCTCTTTTCATGTAATTCATTCTTTCTCTTTCGCATATAATTTTTCTGTTGAGAGTTTAATTTTTCTAGAAATTAAAAACTAAAAGTAGTTGTCAAACAAGTTTTCTTTGAAAATGAAAAACCGAAAATAGATTCTCTTCCGTCAGAATACCTTTGAGTATTTTATTTGCCTCGTAAAGATTGTACGCCTAATGAAGATTGTCATTATGCATTATTTTAGCGAATATCAATCATATTTAATAGCTGGAGGCATTGGGCAGATTGATCACATACATATATCGAAAGGAGAACCTGACCTTGGAATGCTGGTGTGAGAAAACCTAGATTAGTGGGTGACATAAATATTTTCCTTTTTAGAAAAAACAAAAAACAAAAAAACAAAGAACTGTTGTAGGTATAATTTACTGAACAATTATGGAGGCTAGAAAGAGAGAGGGATGCGGCATAGATAGAGAGAAAGAGAGAGATGGGTAATTGTGGGTGTGTGTTATTTCACCCCGTTGTGCCTTTATTTATAGTAGTAGGATAGGTAAAAACATTTCCCTTTAGGATTACAACATTTAATAGGTAATCTACTCCTAATAGGAATATAAGATACATTCCCATATCTAATAGGATTTTCACAATCACATTCCTATTCCAATAGGACTGCAACACTCTCATTTGAGTGTGTAAATACTCAAGTAAATGGCGCATCATGTCTTCAATGATGAAGCAAGTATAATTGATGAAGTTGTCGGCACAACGGGTGATTGCGAGTCTCAAATTTACTTTGAAGTATGCATTTGTAAAAACTCACAAAAACCTTGCTATGGTAAAACCCAAAGAATGGGGAAAACCCATAGACTAAGGAGAAAAGTAAGAAAATATGCATAATGTCTAAAACAATCGTCAAACTGGACGAAGGTAGTGAACTCAATGGAGTATGACTATGATCATCCCATGATGGGTGCTTCGTTAAAACCTAGTTAGGTGGCAAAAACCTAGTGGGAAAATGCTCCTAATCGTAGGGAAAAAAGTACATTAAGATCATGTGAGTATACTTCTAGATACTCCCCCTAAGTTAGACATAACTTCTAAATAAGAGAACTACAAGCGATTCAACTCAGATAATTTACGCATACCGATTCCTTGGACAAGTTTCTGGAAGGTTGACTTCGGCAATGACGTCGTGTAGAGGTCGGCAAGGTTGTCTAGGATCGGCTTGCATGACTTCAATATTCTGATGCTTTGCTGATGTAAATGTAGACGCAATATGTCTTGGTGTAGACTTTGTTGATGTATCATGGCTTGGTCGGGTTGATACATACGGCATAATCTTCATGGATCGTCGTTGGGACTCAACGATGGATGAAAACACAGCAAGTACTTCGAATATGCTCAATAAGAACTCCTAACCATGTCTCACTTGTGGCATAGTGAAGTGAGGTGAGTCTTGGAACGATTCGAAGATTTTGCAACTAAGGTCATATTGTGGACCTCCAAGATATTGCGATATCCCTAACGGTAAAGACATAACCATTTGGGGATTTTTCCTTGGGCGGGTTTGATAAGTAACTTGCGTCAGCATAACAAACAAGGTAAGCATCATTTCGAGGATCAGAGGGTTGGATCCGCTAAGATGCGTTGGGATTTGCCCATATAGTACCTTCAGGGTAGTCATTAATATCAATTCAGTGGATGCGTGTAGACGCGGTGCTGCATCTTTACCAAGATCAACAGCGAAGGAGATGTCCTGTCTAAATACAATGAGCTAAGTACAACGAAGCGCAAAGTTGAACTCAGATATGGAATTTTGGATTCCATAACCTCTTCAAGGGTTTCATTTGCTTATAACGTATGGATGATCATCGGTATACTCAAATGTAACACATTCAGGGTGTAGTTTGACTGGTAGACCAAAATACCGTCAGAACAATGCTTCAACTTCAGGTCAAGGCATAAACGAGTTTTCCTACGATCCTTCATCTCAAATTCCATCTTCAGGTGCGAGGCAGTTTTCTCAAGCTCTTCTGAAGTCTTAGTGAGATTCGTGTTAACAACATAAACTGT